TTTTTTTTGGCGGTACGCGGGCCTCTCACTGTTGTGGCCTCTCCCGTTGCGGAGCACAGGCTCCGGATGCGCAGGCTCAGTGGCCATGGCTCACGGGCCCAGCCGCTCCCCGGCATGTGGGATCTTCCCGGACCGGGACACGAACCCGCGTCCCCTGCATCGGCAGGCGGACTCTCAACCACTGCGCCACCAGGGGAGCCCAATACATTACTTTTTCTAACTGTGTGTTAAAGAGATAATATAATGGAAAGTGATTTATGCGTATTTCCCCCCTTGCTCCAGGTTGCTGTTGCTTATTCCAGTGAGGCTTACGGGGCTGGAATTGCCTTAAAGTTGCTTATGTTTGAAGCCTGGGTTAGGAAAATGCCCAGGTGGATAAAATGCAAATGAATAAGATCAATTTCTCACGTAGTGTGATGATAAAGCTATGCTGGATGAGTATCATATATGCAGCTACTATTTTTCCCCTACTTTTCAAAGAAAGAGAAGGAAGGAAGATCTTGTTTGATGACAACATCATGCGGAAGTATATGTGGTCTGTATTTAGAAAGGTGGAAGTTGTGGAGAAAAAGCACAATGTTCAGTGCATGTCACCAGCCAATCGTGCTGCCTACCTTGAACAAATCGATCTCTGCCTGCCCTGTGCTGTTCACCTTTATTTAATTTATCTATTTTTATCGAAATAAAGTTGACAACTCCTCAGCTTTAAAATAAGGGGATGAACTGATGTGCTGGACTCTCCCAGGTTCGCCTCTAATATAGGTCCTATTATCCAGTAATAGGAGGAGTGCTACTTTTAAAGGATGCAATGCAAAGAACAAATCAAATGAAGGCAGAAATGGTCCTGACTCCATCTTTTCTCTTTTCTCCCCAGACTATGTCAGAGAGTCACCATGACCTTGCACAATAACAATACAACCTCACCTTTGTTTCCGAACATCAGCTCTTCCTGGATTCACGGCCCTTCCGATGCAGGGCTGCCCCCAGGAACGGTTACTCATTTTGGCAGCTACAACATTTCTCGGGCAGCTGGGAATTCCTCCTCTCCAAATGGCACCACCAGTGACCCTCTGGGAGGTCATACCATCTGGCAGGTGGTCTTCATTGCATTCTTAACGGGCGTCCTGGCCTTGGTGACCATCATCGGCAACATCCTGGTGATAGTGGCATTCAAGGTCAACAAGCAACTGAAGACCGTCAACAACTACTTCCTCTTAAGTCTGGCCTGTGCCGACCTGATTATTGGGGTCATTTCAATGAATCTGTTTACTACCTACATCATCATGAACCGATGGGCTTTAGGGAACTTGGCCTGTGACCTCTGGCTTTCCATTGACTACGTGGCTAGCAATGCCTCCGTCATGAATCTTCTAGTCATTAGCTTTGACAGGTACTTTTCCATCACGAGGCCGCTCACGTACCGAGCCAAACGAACAACAAAGCGAGCTGGTGTGATGATAGGTCTGGCTTGGGTCATCTCCTTCATCCTTTGGGCTCCTGCCATCTTGTTCTGGCAATACTTTGTTGGGAAGAGAACTGTGCCTCCAGGGGAGTGCTTCATCCAGTTCCTCAGTGAGCCCACCATCACCTTCGGCACGGCCATCGCCGCCTTTTATATGCCTGTCACCATCATGACTATTTTATACTGGAGGATCTATAAGGAAACTGAAAAACGTACCAAAGAGCTTGCTGGGCTGCAGGCCTCTGGGACAGAGGCAGAGGCAGAGACCTTTGTCCATCCCACAGGTAGTTCTCGAAGCTGCAGCAGCTATGAGCTTCAACAGCAAAGCATGAAACGCTCAGCCAGGAGGAAGTACGGACGCTGCCACTTCTGGTTCACAACGAAGAGCTGGAAGCCCAGTGCCGAGCAGATTGACCAAGACCACAGCAGCAGCGACAGCTGGAATAACAACGACGCTGCTGCCTCCCTGGAAAATTCTGCTTCCTCCGACGAGGAGGACATGGGCTCGGAGACAAGAGCCATCTACTCCATCGTGCTCAAGCTTCCGGGTCACAGCACCATCCTCAGCTCCACCAAGTTACCCTCGTCAGACAACCTGCAGGTGCCGGAGGAGGAGCTGGGGGCAGTGGACTTAGAGACGAAAGCCAGCAAACTCCAGGCCCAAAAGAGCATGGACGACGGAGGCAGTTTTCAGAAAAGCTTCTCCAAGCTTCCCATCCAGTTGGAGTCAGCCATGGACACGGCCAAGGCCTCTGATGTCAACTCCTCAGTGGGCAAGACCACGGCCACTCTGCCTCTGTCCTTTAAGGAAGCTACTCTGGCCAAGAGGTTTGCTCTGAAGACCAGAAGCCAGATCACTAAGCGGAAACGGATGTCCCTCATCAAGGAGAAGAAGGCGGCCCAGACCCTCAGCGCCATCTTGCTTGCCTTCATTATCACCTGGACCCCCTACAACATTATGGTTCTGGTGAACACCTTTTGTGACAGCTGCATCCCCAAAACCTATTGGAATCTGGGCTATTGGCTGTGCTACATCAACAGCACCGTGAACCCCGTGTGCTATGCCCTGTGCAACAAAACATTCAGAACCACTTTCAAGATGCTACTGTTGTGCCAGTGTGACAAAAGGAAGAGGCGCAAGCAGCAGTACCAGCAAAGACAGTCAGTCATTTTCCACAAACGGGCGCCCGAGCAGGCCTTGTAGGATGAGGTGTGTTGTCAGTAGCAGTCACCAAACGCACACATCAACCCGCAGACCTTAGGAGGGAGTGAGGTGAGGGGGGGGGGTGATTTCTGGCGCTGATAAAAAATGTCTTTATCACCCAGATGTGAAAGAAGCTGCCTGTTTACCGATCCATTAAATAAATCCATTTTCATATCAAAAGTCAAATACCAATTCAGCCAAAAATAAATAAATAAGCATATTACTGGATATGAAGAAATTTATTCTGAAATAGACTTTGTTTTTTCTTAAAGAGAAAGAAATAATTGTTTCATAGCAATTATATACCCAAATTGGTCTGCCTGGGCCTTTTCATTCCCATTAGCTCTGGAATCTCGGTGAGGATAACTAGCTGGCCCAGTTGCCCTGTCCTCCCCAAGGGTCCCCAAAGTGTCGATCCACATCCCACGTGGAACACGTCAGGCTAGTGAATCCGTGGTTCTGAAATTCTTTCGTACATTGCAAAGCCTCACCTTCTCGTCCCTGTAGAGCTCCCCGTCTTCTCATTGGTGTGTCGTTGAACTCTATTTGTGGACTTGATTCTTGATTCTTGCAAAGTACTGTTTTGTGCAGTTCAAGTTTCGTACAAATAAAAGATGCATAAGTATATATGTATATATATGTGTGTGTGTGTGTGTGTGTGTGAATTACACGCACACACACACAGTGTATATAATACAGTGGGAATCACTGAACCGGCAAATTATTCCGGCAATATATTCTTTCAGTACTTTGGTGACTGACGTTTCTCTAGGATCCTAACACAACGTGAAAGTGAACTTAAACCCCGTGTAGTGTTTTGGAGACCAGGGCTGTTTTCCCGGAGACTATGCAGCAATGAACAACCAGGCCCTCTGGGCGGGTCTGTGTGGAGCGGTCAGCCTGGTGAGTCAGATGAGCACCAGGGTTCGACCAGACTCTGAGTAAGCTGTTACCCCTGTGGACACCCTCAACAGAGCTAAATCGAATGGGGGCCCCTCTGAGCTCTAAGAATGAACCACATCCACATGTCTGAATTTAATGGTCCAAATCTGAATGTTTCCAAACAAAACCTTTGCTATCTTACCTGCTTGAAGCTCAGTAATAGTGACACGTTTGAATGGCATACACAGCATTACACGGAGCAAAGCAGAAGAGACCTTCTGAGGGGCAAAGAAGAACAGGAGATCTGATTTCTTGCTACTTGACATATTTAAATGAAAAAGGGCTTACACCTTTTGTCACTTAGCTGGGGCCAGTGCTTTCTGCTGTTCATTGCGCAACCTTTACCCAGGAATGGGTGGGGTTCGTGAAGTCATAAGTCCTCTAAAGAAAGTATTACACTTTGAAAAGTATTGCTTCAAATTGATTTCCTTAGTACATTTCTAAAAAGTGATTTTGTATTCTCTTCTGAATTGGCCCAAACGCTAACTGTTCTATTTGGGGGAGGGGAGGGCTGCTGCTGTAGCCGTCGTCTGTGTTGCTGCTGTAGGTGTCAGGGTTCTTTTTTTTTTTTCCTTTTGTGGGCTGTGTGGGGAGTGGGAGGGGTGGGAGGTGGGGGGCTGAGGAGAAATCTTCCCTCTGTACAGGGTCTCCGCGGTGTGAACGCGGAGCCAGGGTAGAAGCTGCTTTTGTGTTCAGTGTGAGCTGGTGTTTACAGCAGGTGTTGACAACGGTGGAAGTGTACTCAGTGGTGTCTGTGCTTCTGAACTATTTAATTTTGTGTTCTGTTTATATGACGATGTATTTATGCATATTTCACCGAGTTCTATTTAATGTTGATAAATATTACTCTTTAGTCTTCAGCGGGTGGTGTCCCCTGAAAGTGATTCTTTGAGGTCCACTTGAGCAATGGGTAGGGTATATCGAGCTTTCTTGTGGCTAAGAAGAGGAAAAAGTCATCCTGTTGGTGCCAGGAGGTACCTAACTCTTTCTAGGTAATAAAAAGTCAACTTTAACTTGAACATAATGGTTTAATACCGTTCTAGTTAAACCTGATGGGAACCGGTCAAAGCAACCCTCCACCAGTGTATTTGAAATCACATGACGAGGGCAAAAAAAGGCAAATCGGCATAATTGAAAGAATTATTTTTTTGGCCCACATTCGACCAAAGAATAAGAAAAAACAGAGACTATTTTCTAACATGTATAGCAAACTACAGAATGTTATGTTATTAATCTGTGAAATGTCTAGTGAGCAAGTGCATCTATATTTTATTACTCACGTTGGCCTGGCACTAATAAATTTGTGAATGCTGATTCAAGTCTCCCTGTATATCAGTAATTCCCATTCTCTTTGAATCTCCTATCTTGCCTCCCTCTCAAAAGACTCTTTCCTGTATTTAAAAAGAAATAGAATTAAATTTAAGAAATGAAGAAACGTAAGCTTTAGCAGAACTGTGAAGGTTAATAACAACTCTACTTAAACATGATTATCTCCTCATCCTTGTCCTTTATATGATGCTGAGAATGGAAGAAAAGAAAGACGTCCAAGACGTCAGCTCTTCTGTTACTGGTTTAATTATCGAATTATTTTTAAATCTCTTGTGAATGAAAACTGCTTTTACATACTGTCTACTGACTCTGTTTATAGAAATGTATGTCCAACTCTTAGGTCATTTTCAGAAAAAGAAAATAAGAAAAACAGATTCTTTTGAGTTTGGAAAATTTAGGAGTGTAATCAAAGATGTAGTGAAGTGTTTAAAACCAGACATAGCCACACATGCATTTCTCAAAGGACTTGTCACTAGAAAAGGTATTCAGCATTTACATAAGATCATCCCCCCAGATGGGAATCAAATTGTTTTCAATCCATATGAATGAGGTTTGCAGAGCTTTCATGATTATCCACTTTAATTGAGAGTAAAATAATCAAGCCTAAATAAACTACACGTGAAGAAAGCACCCCCAACACACACACACACACACACACGTGTGCACGCGCGCACCCCCGACCCTGTTCTCCCATTCTCTGTTCTCCAGGGTCTACCAGATGGATAAGAGAAGTGAGCTTTCTGGTCCTGTATTCCCCTTGGCTCTGCTCTCTTTTATCCATCACCTACCTGTAGTCTTTCTGCTGGTTCACCATATTACCCTGAATCATCCTTGACTTCAAATCTAGCCTTGAGTCTCCAGATAAGTTCCATTTCTATTTACTCTTTCACATATAATAGTTCTAGACTCTCACAGGAAAAAAAAAAAAAAAGCATAAGAAGCTGCAGGGGCTAATGATCTAGAAGGCATAGCAGCTTTCTCTGTCCACCCCTCTGTGTGCAGATGGGCAAGTTCATTGCATCACTTGTGAGAAGGGGAGGGCACAGCTCTGATGCAGAGTTAGCTGCCTCAGGTCAATCTCAGGAAGGAAAAGGGTGCCAAGGCACAGGCACAGTGGAGAAGCCTGATGGAGACAACACAAGACAGAGGCAGAGCCTCCGGATCATTCTGGGTGCCCCATACTTATCCGAGTAGAGACGATTCCCAGATGGGGACGTATGGCTGAAAAACTGGACAGTACATCCCAGGAGCTTCAGAGGACAAGTGAAGGTATCACAAAGAAGCTCTAACTTAGCATAAGGAGCCCTGAGCTTTTGGCCCAGTTCTGTCACCAGGTAATTACATGGCCTCTGCCACGCGCGCCATTTACCCTTAAACTCAATGGGTTGTCCCCATACGCTCTTACTCATTAACAACATGAAAGCATCTCAATTTGCCTTCTAATAGCAAACAGGTGAAATAGAGTCAGGGCGGTAGGTAAATAACTACCATGATGAATGTAAATGCTCTAACTGAAGAACACTTGAAAAATTCTGATTTTATGTATCCCTCAGAGTTATTTACTTCTATTTCAGTACAATGATCTCTAAGGAACTCTCACAGTTTGTTGGTAAACCTGGAATTTTATTTCAAATACCGCTTTATTCCAGGATGATCACCTAAGGCCTGACAACCTTACAAGTAGAGCTGCTGGGCAGGGGGTGTTTGGTTTCTCAGTGGTATTTCTCGAAATGGACTGAAACTGTATAGAATACAGCACCCAAAATGCTGGTCCTTTCTTCAGCCTGACAGCCCTACTTGTACCACCTCCTCTAAAACCATATTTTTTCTCATATATGTCATGCGTGACAAACTTGGCACAGCAGTGCAAACGCCACCCCATAGTAGGATGCAGGTCAATTTTACTACTTGCCTTTATGGACCTAGGTTATGCTGTCTCTCCTGGTGTTTTCATGCCTCTGTTTTGTAGGAATTCCGCCTCTACTGGGACTCATGCTGTGAGAATAAATATTCCAGCCCCAAGACGTTGACTCCAGGGACAGAAGCCCAGGGCTCTTGAGAACTAGGAATATTCCATTTTCTTTTTCTGGCTTTAGTGTCACTGCCTGAGAAAGGAGGCTCGTGTTGAGATAATAAAGATGAAAAAAGAAAAACAAGTTCCCAAAGTGACTGTGTTCAACATAAGTTTGGAACTGCATAATATTTTGTCACCAGGCTCCAAGATGGACAAGGGTTAGGCTTGTTGTTAACTGGACACACATTACATTCACAGCTTCACACACAGAGATAGACGGTGCACTCGGACATGTGGAAGCGGACACCCAAGCACTTTAGCACAATGTTAGGACTGTGGTCACTCTGGTAGAACCGGGAAGACTCAGCACAGAGTTCAGACCCTACAGTTCTTGGCCTGGGCTGGGAACTCCCCAAATAATCCCCCAGATCCAGGGCGGCTCTCATCTGAGTTACACAAGACGTTCTATACGAACAGGAAATGGAAAAGGAGGCTATACTCTCAGTTGCAAAGAAGTATTAATAACACTTCCCTCACCCAAATAATCTTATCTTAAGCTTAAAAGATTATCCTCAGAATATAAAGCTTTATTTTTGTTCTTTCTTGAAGTCCAAAATACTTATTCATTCTGCAATTTACATACCAAACCCCGAACTATTTTTATCCTAGATTCTGTGATTTCCTTAATGATAGAAAGCAGGTCTTCCTCATCCTGTGGCTGGCACATTATCTGTCAAACAGTAGATATTCAATAAATGCTGTTGAATGTTTAATAAACTCCTTATAATTAATATAGCAAATATTTATCAGAATTATGTGTACGTCAATGCCCCACACTTCGACTGTAGCCGGAGGGCATTGAGCTGGGAAAGTAAATTAAGGGAAAAATGGTTCATTGATATGATGGTTTCCTAATAAAGTATTACTAAGCAACAAGGAGAAATATTTTAATAGATTTGAAGTAGTAAATATAATTAAGAGGACAGGAAGGAAAGAAAATCAACTCTATCCCTAGAATTTGGAAACGTTTTACCAGGTTGGTCAACTCTACTTGATCCTAGTAAGGGAAATACTGAGAGAGCCTGGAGAGTCTATACATATAAGTCTTCTGTTTGTACAGGTGGAGTTCTGTAATTTGGCTTAAAACATCCTTGCATGTAGTTTTGCTTGGCATGAAGGTTAGGAGAGAATCCATACTGTTCTGCAAGCATTAAACAAAGCCCTCTCTTCATATCCTCTGTTCATTCCTCACGTAACACGTGGATATTTTCAGCCTCCTACGTACAACACTCCAGAGAAATTTCTTTGGGGCTTGTGCTTAGAGCTATGGCAAGGCAACGTTTTCAGGAATGCCCCCCCCCCCACTTTTTCAAACACATGGAAACTGTCTCTAAGTTTGGTGCAGGTTCGAGGAATAATAATTAAAATAGGCTTCAAGTTGGTGAATCAGCACATTGATTTTTCTTGGCAGAAAGCTTTCTGGGAAATGTCTGTGAAATGTTCAGTGATACTCACATCCTTCTAATTTATGAGGGTGTAGAAATCACTGTCCAAAGAGATGGCTATATATTTGCTTTGTAAGCAAAAGGCATGTATCATAGTTGCATCTAAAATAGTGTCCCCATCTTTATCAAAGGCACTGAATTTTAACTGTTTTTATTTCCTAGTGTCCAGCACTTCCTCAGTAGTCATTTTAGGTATGTCATATGCCATTTTTATTCCTTCTTCTAAAAATAATTCTATTGTCTGTACTATAAAATGATGCCTGCAACTTTGTGGTGATATTATCCCCTAAGTTTAATAGTGAAATAAGGAAATAAAACTATAAATAAACAAAGAATGTGGTTGACTTTCTTTTTAATCCGAGGTCTATAATACAGCAACAGTTTTTTTATTGTATAAAAGGGTGGAGTACATTGAAGGGATAGTTCTGAAACAGACCTTTATTTGCATTGACTTCTCTGCTTTTAACATGTACTAGAACTTTCTTCAACAATGAACATTGCTGCTGCCATAACTCAAAATAATACTCTGTGTTTTGGGCTATGAGTTAAGCATGTATTAACTATATCTGCAGACATAATCCTAATTTTAAGACTGCAAGTAAAGAAAAAGATTTCTCTCTAGATATATACTATGGACCTAACACAAATAGATTACTAGTTACTTCTCCAGCAAAGATGGGTTTATTTGGGGTCTGCATCCTGGCAAGCCTCATGCAAGTCCCCAGACAGCAA